CCCGACTGATGGACAACCGATGCAGGGTAAGCCCGATGAGAACCAGTGGTCGGCAGAACAACAAAGAATTTGATCGATTTTAGGTCGACAAACCTTCGGTCTCGATCGCCACCGGCTGCTCTGAACAGGATATGGTCGCGTATTTGTCCTGCGAAAGCTCTATTGATCCGTTCAGCTTCCGACCAGTCTCCATCATCGGGTAAGTTGTTACCCCACGGAATTTCTATCCTGGTATCATGGAAAACCTCCTTTTCAGCGACGGTACGAAATGGGACGAAATGTGCACGGCCTTTGCGTCGTCGTACAGACCTTGTGTTGAGAAGATGTCCTGCAAGTTCGAGCCAGTCTCATCCGCTAATATACAACTATTCGACGGCATTTGTAACAGGTCAGTCTAACTGAAGATGTTTTTGTAGTATTCTGCGGAAAAGTGGGCAGGGCTTCCCACAGCAAAGAGGGCGGAGTTTCCCACATGAGCCTCACGACTTCGTTTCCCACATCTTATCAGAGGGCGGATCGTAACATCGTGTACTGTAACTTCTACATAAATCAGTTAGATCCTAGGACAAATGTCATGACGCCGCTCGCCTCGCCGCTTCAGTAGCGTCGCCGAAATGTATATATAACTGTCCTGGTCTTCAAACAACTTGAACTCAATGTCTTTAATTGCGTCAATTTTCTGCTTTTCTCTGCGCTCTCTCGTCTGCAAGGCGTTTTTTGGCCGCTGTGATCTTACAAATTCCAACTTTTCATGAAAGATGAGTGGCTTACTACCCCGGAGTCCCTGTCCCCCCCCCCCCTACCGAGTTCATCCCTGGCTCGTGGCATGTTATGTGCACCTTTCGATGCCTTGGCAGGCAGTACTCTATTCTCTGCGCTCTGGCCTTTCGCGCCAGGTCCCCGACAACAGTTTTAGTTGTCCCGTAACCTAAGATTGTCAGAGTTGAAAGAAGTTCGGACGAAATTGGGATATTCGATTGGATATTATCGACCTCCGAACTACCAATCGGAAAATGGAAATACGCGTGTAAACGGAATCACTGAGTCTTGGACTTTCACGATCAGTCTCACACAAGTGAGAAGTCGAAGATGATTAATTTCGCACTATTTTCAAGCCATCCACTCTTCGGGACAGAAGTAGACGGTCGGATGCCTATCCGACTATACGAACAGCCCTGCTGGCCAAAAGTGCATCGCCGCTATGGCCAGTGTCGATCCAATGGCATCCGATGCTGCTAGCAAAATGTGTCAAGTGTAAGTTATCAGAGTAATTTCGGCCACTAGATTCTAGCACTTTCTAAAATTCCTGTAGGCAATTGGGTGCAGAGCGCGCCGCAGAGTTCTTTCCAAGACAGTTTCTACTCTTTCACTTTCAGCCTGAACTCCGTCCTCACCTGCGCCGGTAACGACATCGAAAAAGAATGCGGTTATGGGGCACTTCTTCACGTTTACGAACAGCACACTCAATGGGCGCAAGCTTACAACAAGAGTTGTGTAGTTCAATCACCGGAGCCAAAGGTGAGTACTATAGTAACTTATTCGGTATTAAAGGCAGTGGGCACGATGGCTGAGGGCACGCGGTTACTGCCGACGTCATTGATGGAAGGGCTGCGCGAGAGCGTTTGGCCATACCCCACTCAGACCTTTCACCAATGACGTTGACACTAACCCCCGACCATGGTGCCCACTGATTTTACTGACGAACTCCACTATTCTATCCTCATCCTTGCCAGGTGCAAGGCCGAATAGGTCCGCAGCTGCAGTAGCGTGCCACTTTCTCCGCTCAAATGTGCACAGGGAGGGGCTGCAGGGTGGTGATGGTCACATGCCGTTTAAACTGCACCACTGCCAAATCAGCGCACGTAAAGGTAGCACGATGAGGCTCAAATGTAGTTTAGTTTGCTACCGACGAAGGGGCTTCCCAGGCGAGATGAATTGGCACGGTGCCAAACTCGTTCTCTACCAGTTGTTGAAGCGAGCAAGTTATAGAGTTACATATCGTACCTATTACTCGTTTTTTGCCACTTGTTGTCGCATACCCGTTTCAACAACTGGCAGAGAACGAGTTTCGCGCAGTGGCTTACTCATACCACATGATACGTCCCGGAACTAGAGGCAACTATAGTCAAGCCACTCTTGCTTGCACTGCACTTCTCTTACGTTGGGTTTTCTCTAGACTTAGCGCAGTCAGGCAGCTTTAGTTTATGTTGCCTCGTTGTTAGGAACCATTGCATGACGCTTATTCCGGCCCATTCCTCAGCAGTTATTCGTGCGGGGTCCGAAATCAACCAAGCTTCATATGGCTATCAAATTCCAACTCCTCTCCTGACTTTTGGCAGAGCGAAAAGCACACTATGCAGATGTCGGCCCATTCAACTCTCGGCACTTGGCGAGGATTTACTTTTTCTTCAAGTGCCTGTCCAGTATGAAAATGGGCATGGTCGTGGTTGGAATCGGTCAATTAGCCTTGTGATTTTCCCTTCGTGTCGGGTTCTTGTTCTTTTGAAGCGGCTTGTTAGAGTCCTTCTATCCCATAAGTAACCGTGAACGCGTCACGATCGTTCCGGCGCGACGCTAATGCCTCAGACACAGGCACAATCCTGATGTGAATTGGCGGTGTAAGGGACACCCACCCCCCTTACCGAAGCACGCTACCTACCATTCATTCAATTTTCTTCGAAGCAACACCTACCTACCAATTACCCTTATTTTCCGGTTTCTCACCCTTTTCATCCAAAGATTTTCTTCGAGCAGGGGGGAAGGGAGTAGGGGGGGGGGGGGGGGGGGCATAAAGTACACACGAAACAGGAAAAGTCACAAAAAGACCGGGAAAATTTTTCGTCAACGCGGCAAATTTCTCCCGAAGCCACATACGACCTCCCTTCCCAACAACGGCTAGAATACGATCCCCTCCCGCCTCCCCAGCCAAAAAGTACGAGCCCTATGTGTTTCACACAACGATGCTGTACCCTGGCCAGACAGCTGACGCCAGCTGCAGGTTCTTTGAACGCAGACGATGCCTTAATCTTACCCCAGGACGCCTACCTCAGCTTTTTCGACCCCTCTCAGGATTTTGGATTCCCGAGACGTTCCTGAGCTGTCCCTGAATGGTAGTACCCTTTACTCATTGTCTTGTGTTTATACTAATTACTTAACAGTCGGTACCAACCAACACTCTGGATCAATCTAAAGACGTGGAACCACAGCATGTGACACGAGACGAGCTACCACCGCCGTCTGTTGTACTTCAGAAGGATTCCACACCGATTGTGATCAACAACGCGGATACCACCGCCGCCTCACCAGAAATGACCACAACGCCATCCACGGAGAACGATGCAGCAGAATCAGCGACCAGCCATCCGAAGGACATCTCCACCACTACAGTCAAAGGTGAGTGAACACGACTTTCTTTGCCAGCATGCGCAACTTTGTTTCACGTTAAGACGGCACGTAGAAAAAACCCAGTATTTCTAGCTAAATTGCCCGTCGTACTGTAGCACTTTCGCCTCAAATCAATTAGATCTCAGTGTAAGTGCTGCGCACGCAACGCTGTTCTCATGTTTCGCGGCGCCCTAGGATTAACGTCCTTTCTCATCAACAGCAATTCCACCATATGAACTGAAACATGCTGTTCTGCCTACATGCATACAGTCTTGCACGCTGCGGATGACCAACTGTGGAAGGGCGCGCAACGCGCCACTTACGAATTAATGGAAAAAGGCACGTGACCGCGGCCCCATTCACGTCTGCAGCGAATAAGACCGTACATTCAACTCGCGTACCAAAAGCACTAGCTCTTGATGGCGACCCACTTGCCCAAATGTCATGACAATACGCGTTTAGAAGCGGTGGTTGGTGTCGCCATGAGTGGGGGCGATTGCTAGTTGGCAAGATAGCCATAAGTGACCATCTCCTTCCATCTTGTCCTCTGCGTCCTCTTAAAGATATAACGTCGCCCATTGGTGCTCCATGTACCTTAAAAGTAGTGAGCACAGTTATTAAGGACGGGCAGTTGTTACCAGCGTCATTGGTGGATTGCGTTTGGGCACACCCACATAACACGTTCAGCAGTTCAGCCGAACGCCCACTTTCAGCCCTTCTACAAATGACGCTGGCAACAACCGCCCGCCTCCAGCAATCGTACCCTCTGTTTTTGAGGACAGGGTCCGCCTCCGATTACCCGACATGCAGAGGCCTGAGGCTGCGTTCATACTTGTGACATCACTAGCGTTTCAAACGTTCGTCAGCGTCAGTGAAGATATCGATCTAGCGAACGGTAGCGTCCAGCAGCGTCTTCCAGCGACCATCAGCGTCTCGAGGGACCAGGAAAGTATGGGTATCGATCTAGCGTCTACCAGCGTCCACCAGCTACCAGAAGTAGAGGGTGTTGAAGTAGGTGGGTAGCAGACTGTTGGTAAAGTATAGGGGCGTACGGGGAAACGAATTGAGTGAGGCCGGGGTGAATTAGGCGTCGTGAGCTTGTGGCCTCACCGTACTACTACCCAAAACCGTATTCATGGTCGCTGGTAGCCGCTAGATCGATATCCATACTTTCCTAGTTCCTCGAGACGCTGACGGTCGCTGGTGGACGCTGCCGCAAAGTATGAACGTAGCCTTAACCTCACTTTCGCCACTCGAAAAAGCTTTATAATAGCGTCTCCTCCCTGCGACATTGAGCCAGCTTCCGCTCCTTATGCTGGATCCACCTTAATCAATCAATTTTCCCTTCCCTACAGTGCGGTGGATTCCTGATCATTTCTATATTCTCTAGCCATATAATGCCTTCTTCTCTTTTACTCACGTAGTCCCTCTGCTCATGTAAAGCTCAGAGTCCAACAGGGCTCTTATTCAGGGTTTTTTTCGACGGATTGTTTTACTTTTTCCTTCACTAGTAGCTCACTTACACTTGATTTAATGACCTCAGCCCTGGTACCTTCAAATGGCCTTCGCGGCCGCGAGTGCAAGCAGGCGAAAATTGGAGGTGCCTTTTGCCGCGCCAACTACCTTTGTCGCTGCTTCCCTACGCGGTCGAGGCGTGTCCAACCTAGGGATCTGCGCGGCAGCGGCGCGGTAACTCGTCCTCGCCGCCGCGCGGTGACACATATCCCGACAGAATTGTATCTCATTCAACCCAATCGATTTCAGGTTCAACAACGTCCATGCTCAGCGTGTTACTGGTATTCGTCATCACTTTGCGAGTGTTCTAAGGTTCAGCCCTGTGGTATTGTTATATTGAGGTTACTGTAGCTTAGAGTGCTCATGTGTATATGTGATGAGAATCGATCGATGGTTCGACATATGTATGTCTGTAGAGTTCCCCTCTTCTGCCACATTCCTTCTCTCCATTCTCCGATGATCTGATCTGGACTTCTGTATGCGTTCGTTCTCCGCTTCATAGAAAACTACTCGGCCGTTTGCCTCGTTGAAGTGACAGTCTGGCGTTATGGACGTCAGTCATGGCGTACTTTCTGCAATTGCGGAACGCGCTCGCGAGCGAGCACCCGTCAACATTCTCGGACCATGAACGCATTTGTTTACATGTATAACGGGGCGAACATAGATACTTTTGGGCGTTCAAGCCGGGTTTTTGTTGGGTGACGTCATGAGCGAAATATATTGGTGCTTTTCTCCATTTGAAAAACCGAGAGCCATTACGCTCGATCGAATTCCATCGAATGCCGACGTTTTTCTTCCCTCATTTCCTCCTTCCCTTGATTCTGACTGACCTGCCTGCTTGCTATTTCCAAACTTTTCACCTCCCTCTATAAGTGTGTTGTGTGATGGATATCGATTTTACGCGCATAAGAGCACTACTCATTATCCACATGCACATGCGAAGGGGCGGTTCAGAAAGTGGGAAACGGCTTCAGTGTCTTAAGAAATAATCACACCATGTACAGTTTTTCTACTAAATATTGCCATGTGATTCATTAATAACATTCGATTTTCATATTGCTATCCATAAGCGGGATATATCAAAAATTTAATGAGAAATAAATATATTGTTGTGAACTTGTGTCTACTCTTCTCGCACATGTTACTCGTGTGCTGTACTGTGTACTGGTAATACGACAATAAAACTAGGGTTAAGGATAACCTAGGCACGGCATTGCGCTCAAACCACTTACTACTCTTAGCTACTACTTGACTCGGCGTAACACTCTAACGTCAGCTCAATTGTTATCGTCGTCATCCGGGCAGTTGATCAGCCGACCCCAGGGGTCGCGACGCGGCTGCAGCGCGTCACGACCGCGGCGATCAGCTGTTTCCACCCTAATTTAGCAATTTCCTCCCTAATTTTCACTGTATTTCCTATTTTTTTCAAGATTATTTACGTTATTGTCTATATGAAGTTTAAACTCGTGAACTTTTTTATTTTCTCTCGTAATGGTGTGTTTTTCGCGATTTTTTTCAGGCATTTGTCTAATTGTTTGTTTAATCGTTTAATTGTTCGCAAATGTTATAAAAATTCCAATTATAATTTACCTTGTGAAGACAAGGAACTGCTAATCTTGGAAAAAGCAGCCAAAAACAGTGAAAAGTAGGGAAAAATGACTAAATTAGGCCGGAAAAAGCAAATAGTTCCTACGCACGCGGTCGCTGCTGCAGCCGCGTCTGCGGCCCGTTGACGACCGCCCTAATCAACTGCCCGGATGACGAGGGTACCGCCTACGTCCTATATCCCTTCCTTGACGACCTTATCTTACGAAATCGTTGGACATTTTTTTTTCTTTCTGAGATTTCTAGAACAGAATCGTATGCATTATTGAACGTGATCGCACGGCCATTCTGAAGACTTGTAACGAAAAAAGATGATACAGACCGTTGAGTTTCCTCTTACGTTGGATAAGACGCAAAATAAGCGGTGCGGCAGTAAGCCGCCGCCACGGCCTGGTTAATTTCACAGCAAAATCTACGTCGAACCAGTTAGGGATGCTGGTTAGGTGTAGTGCCAGAGCTTGGATCTTCTAAATAGCGCCCTAGCCCCGACCAGGACAATCAGCTAAAGGATAACCTACCTACTGATTAGTCTGCCTCCGTCCAAATGGGGCATGTGACAAGGCAACGTAATATGCCAGCGAGCGACGCCGCCGACAGACGAGTTGCTCTGCCTGACCGTTTGAAAAGGATTATTGAAGCCAATCCCGCGATTGTATACTCGAAATCCCTGAGATCGGGTAGGCGTGGCTGCGTACTTGATTTTAAAATGGCGTCGGCCCAGGTTTTCGTGAGATATTGTCATTTCGGAGCAGTCGTAATCATGTCTACATATAGCACAGAACAAGATAGCAGTTGTTTCAAATTGAAGTATCCCACGAGAAACCCGTCCTATGCCATGCTCAAAAGCCACGCCTACTCCGTCTCAGGGATAAGGAGTGTATGTTGTGGACAGTGACGCCACTTACAACCCATAGTCGCTAAATAACTCTCCAGGGAAAAAACCCATGGCGAACACCCTAAGTAAAGACCTGGTAGCCTCTCTGGACGAGTTTTCCGGGCCTGCTCATCTTATACCCGCAAAGCTATGTCATGCCAGCTCTAGCTCAATTATGGTTTCTCCGCGTCCTTCAATACTAATACCATCAAACAACGAAAAAAAAAACGAAAAACATAATGTAAAAAAGAACTTGTGACGGGAGAAG